ACCCACTGAGCTACGGGTGCCATCTCTCTTTTTTATTTTTTGCAGTTTTTGGCCAGGGCTGGGTTTGAACCCACCACCTCTGGCATATGGGGCCAGTGCCCTACTCTTTTGAGCCACAGGCACTGCCCTCTCTTTTTTATTTTTACCTGAGACAGCTTTTCATTCTGTTACCCAGCTGGAATACAGTGACATTATCACAGTTCTCTGCAACCTTCAACTCCTGGCATAAGTGATCTCTCTGCCTCAGCCTCGCAAGTAGCTGGGACTACAGGGAGGCATCACAATGCCTGGCTTATTTTTCTATTTTTTGTTGAGATGGAATCTTATTATTGCCAGGCTGATATCGAACTCCTGGGCTTAAGCAATCCTCCCACCTCAGCCTCCCAGAGTGCTAGCATGATAGGCATCAGCCACCCGCCCCCCAGCCCTCTCCTAGAGTTTCTGCATTCACTTGCTCTACACACCCACCCAACTGACACTCTACCTGGTGAGCAGCCACATCTGCCTCTAGCAGGGCGTGCTTCTTCTGCAGGTTCTGGACATTGGTAAGATCTTTGCCATAGTCATCTGAAGCCAGGTGACCTTCCACTTCATACAGCCACAATTCAATATCTTCAACATTGCGGTTAAATTGCTGCTGCTGGTTAGCTTCACGAAGTTTTATTCCTAAAGGAGGCAAGTTTGATTTCCTGTTGTTTAGCATTATCCTTCTATTGACACTGCTCATAAACAATGTCATCTTAATAAAGGCTTTAGTTACTACTTCATTTCTATCACAAAGATATCAAATTATCACCTCTGTTCTACTTATGAAAAGAGGCAGAACTGGAAGTCTGAAAAGCATTCCATCTCCCATGAGATAGGGATACTTGAGAAATAGTCTTAGCTCATAGTTGAACTTTGATTTTCAGAGATGAGGCCCAATTTGGGTCCTTCTCTTTCAGCTTCCCTCACACACTAGCAGGTTCAACACTTCCAACCAGCACAGTCAACATTTACCACCAACCAGGACACTCACCCACATTTACCAAATTAGCAAAGGACAGGAACCCAGGCTCAGTAACTCCTACATGCCCAAAGTCATCTACCTCACCTTACTTGCATGGGGTGTGTCCCTAAAATGCTTAACCAGGAAGGAAATTTTAGTCCCCCAACACTCCTGTCACCATCCATTTTTAACATTTTCTCTTACCTTTCAGTTCAGTGGCCTCCAGAAGTTTCTTCCACAAACTGATGACCTCATTCATACGAGCCGCTACCTCATCCTTGGCATAGTGGTTGACATCAATCAACTTTTGCCCAGCTTTCTCCAGGGCATCGATGCGGCTCTGGTTTGCTGAGAGCTCAGCCTCAAAAGCCTGATGTTTCTGTACTTTTCCTTGTAAGTTGGATGGGTCCTTCCAATAAAAGAAAGAAAGAAGGGAGTTTTATCTTGAATCTGAATATGTAAAATCACTTTCATACTCATCTTTTTGGGAGAATGTTTAAAAGTGCCAGCCTACATTAAGCTGATTTTCCTTTTTATTTATTTATTTATTTGAGACAGAGCCTTAAGCTGTCACCCTGGGTAGAGTGCTGTGGCATCACAGCTCACAGCAACCTCCAACTCTTGGGCTCAAGCAATTCTCCTGCCTCCACCTCCCAAGTAGCTGGGATTATAGGCGCCCGCCACAACGCCTGGCTATTTTTTGGTTGCAGCCGTCATTGTTGTTTGGCGGGCCCAGGCTGGATTCAAACCCACCAGCTCAGGTGTATGTGGGTGGCTGGCGCCTTAGCCGCTTGAGCCACAGGCACCGAGCCTAAGCTGACTTTTCAATCAGCTTAACTTTTTGAGATTTTTGAATCCTTTCTTTCTTTAGCAATAATTTATTTGTGAGAGCTGCATTTAGCTTACCACCAAGCACTACACAGCAATGCTAACAATACATTACTTTATAAGCCTCATCTGTGGCAGTTTTCATCTTCTCGTTGACCCAACTCTTGAGCTCATCAGAGTCACGGAAGAATTGCTGCAAGTGGAAGGAGTCAGCCAGCTGGGCCCGGCGACACATGGCTCTCTCATGAAGGGCATTGCGGCGGCTCAACAGCTGAAAGACAAGGATCCTTGTGACTTACCACCTCTCACTCTCAAAAGGATGTTTGGCTCAAGAGACCTAATGGTAAATCTGTCTTTGATGGGATATCCACATACAGCAGAGGAGGAGCATGAAGAAGTTGGAAACTTACAGCATCTCTGCGAGTGGCCACATCTTCCATCGCATAGTGGTTGTTCTGAATTAGCTTGGTTGCAAATTCATCTAGTGCCTAGGAAGGAAGATATTGATATGCACAATTATTGGACTCTAGAGAAAAGTCACTGGTCATAAAACGCTCCAAAACTTAACACATGTGAAGTTTTTCACTCTAATGTTAGCGATGACATTTTCCCCATAACTTTTGAATTTTTGCTTGGTGTCATTAGTCAATATTTGACAACATTGTGCTAGTTACCTTCAGGATTAGAGATATTAGATGTAGCACACTCTTCTGACAGGGGTCAGAAAGGGGTGAACAGCCTTCCAATTCTTACTTCTGAAATGTGTTTTCGATGGAAAGAGTATCTCACGTTAACTCTGAACTACTTTTTTGTTTTGTTTTGTTTTTGAGACAGAGACTCAAGCTGTCCCCCTGGGTAGAGTGCCGTGATGTTATAGCTCACAACAACCTCCAACTCTTGGGATCAAGGGATCCTCTTGTCTCACTTTTTCTATTTTTAGTAAAGATCGGATCTCGCTTTTGCTCAGGCTGGTGTGGAACTCATGAGCTCAAGCACTCTCAGAGTGCTCGGATTATAGGCGTGAGCCACTGTGCCCGGCCAACTCTGAACTACTTTGAAAGGTAAATTTCAGTTTGGGGGATGAACCATTTTATCCTATAGAACAGAGTTAAGTCTCTAACAAGACTGTGAGCTTCATGAGATTTTAAGCACCCACCCACCTGTATGCCTTGCACACAGAACCTTCATCACACAGTTTGGAAACCTTTTAGTAAAAGAGACTTGTGGCTTACTCTAAGGATCAGGTGAAGGCACTGAGAACAAGGGGTCTTACTGTAATCTTTTCCTCCTGGGCACTGAGGGATTTCTCAAAGTCCTCATGCTTCTTGAGAAGCGCTTCCACACTATCCAAGGAATCCCCCAGATCTTCATTCAACAGGAATGCCTTGAAAAAGGAAACAAAGTATTCAAAATAATAGTCTATTCCTTTGATATTCTAAGACTCAAACACAAAGGATATTCTGGCCAAAATACAGAAAGAAGGAAAGAGATTCCATGGTTATAAACTTCCCAAGGTCTCTTCTGGAAAGTCTCAAGTCCTTTCAGATTCACTTAAAATCAATCCAGCAAAACCGGAAATCCTTCCTTCATATTCTACCGAAACTTCCTTCAAATAGCTTTGGTTGCTTCTATTAGACTTAGATTTTATATAATGCTATATTCTAAGAGAAAGCATCTCTTTGATAAAACATTTTGCATCACATTAATCTGAAAAACTGGGTCCTTCTGGGCACCCTGCAATCCCAGCAGGCAGAGACACTAGCACAGCTGACTGAAGTTTGCTTAGTTCCTCCTCTTACCTGACTCAGAATTGAAATGGTGCTTAGTTGCTGAAACAAAATGAGCAGGCTATCCAGAAAGAGACAGGGCATAGACCACTCTGCTTCTCACTGGTGTGGCTCCCGCACCCACATTACCTCTTGCTTGCTCATCCAATTGTCCACTTGCTCAGTGTCCCGGTAGAAGAGCTGCAGGTCCATGCACTGCTCATACTGTTGCCTGCGCAGCTCCCACAGCTCCAGCAGTGCGGCCCTCTCCTCAGACAGGATGGTCAGCTGAGGGTGACAGAAGACAAGGTCAGGGAGGAAAGGTCAGTCCCTAAAGGTCTCCAAGTCAGACTGAAAGACTACCCTAGAATTCCTAACCACAGTGCTAATATTCAGTCTTGTTTACTGTCTTGCAAAAGGAGGAGAACAACATTCACTTGTGTGTGTATGTTCAACATTACCCTAGAATTAATTTATTGCCGTACAACTAGATAATTTTAGGTGAAAATGCTAAGTTAACTCCTAGGTAGAAAAGAAAAGGCACCTATGTAAAAGTGAGACACTGTAAATGGACCAGTGACTCTCATATGAGAAATGTCAATTGAGTGGGCACTTCACAAAATATGTCAAATAAATTTATGAATGCCCTAAAAAGAATTTTTAGGCTCCAAAACTTAGGAGTTCAAGACTATCCTGAGCAAGAGCAAGACCCTGTCTCTAACAATAGCTGGGCATTGTGGGTGACTAGTCCCAGCTACTTAGGAGGCTGAGACCAGAGGATAACTTGAGCCCAATAGTTTGACGTTGCTGTGAGCTACGATGCCATAACACTCTACTGAGGACAACAAAGTGCAACTCAGTCTCAAATGAAAAAAAGGAAAAGAAAAGGAAAGAAAAGTCTCTTCTGGCTCGGTGCCTATAGCTCAACCGGCTAAGGCGCCAGCCACGTACACCTAAGGTGGCGGGTTCGAATCCCCAGCCCGGACCCGCCAAAACAACAATGACAGCTGCAACCAAAAAATGGCCAGGCGTTGTGGCGGGCGCCTGTGGTCCCAGCTACTTGGGAGGCGGAGGCAGGAGACTCGCTTGAGCCCAGGAGTTGGAGGTTGCTGTGAGCTGTGATGCCATGGCACTCTACCCAGGGGGACAGCTTGAGGCTCTGTCTCAAAAAAAAAAAAAAAGAAAGAAAAGAAAAGTCTCTTCTTAGTTGATGTAATACACACACATACACATTATCTAATATTCCTTAGGCAATTTCATTCTTTAAGATACTTTGAAACCTATGATTATACATCACTTTATAAAAATTTGTTTCCTCTTTGCTCCAACTCCTAATTCAGGACTAAATTCTCTGCAAAAAGCAGCTGTAAGTGGGAAAGGTGTCACACATGTCCCAGATAATAGGGACTGTCTCCCAGGTAATCAGCACACTGTATATATATCTTTTCTTTAAGTCTCTGAAGAGAAAAGCTATTCTTTTCAAGAAGAATCTCTGGGTAAGTTTTCTTAAGCATCATGATGAGAGTAATGTTTGGATGGATAATACCTTTCAGAGCCTTAGTTCTTTAGTTAATGAATGTAAGTTCCTCATCAAAAGTTCCTTTTCTCCTCTCTTACCTTCTCCTTCACTTCATCTGAGGCATAATGACCAGCAGCAAGCAGAGCCTGTCCAGACTCATCTGCAGATTTGAAACTATCTTCATGTGCATCAATTTCACCCTGTGGGGGGGGAGGAAAGGCACAATTTATGCCCAGCATCTCATAAAAGAAAAAGAGTTGTTCAATTTTAAATAATCATTACAAGTAAGACAATCACAACTGAAATGAGGAATGAAAGATTAGGTCAGGCTTCCTAATATATCATCACTCTAGGTCACGATTCACTGATGAAGTCCTATTCCTACTGGCTTTGCACTCCACCTCTGTCATTGTCAAGGTCCACACACTGACATGGGTCTGAGCTCCCTCTTCTATTCCACTGTTCTGTCTTCCTTGTGACAAATGGATCTGTTTACTATGAGCACCTAGTAGGGTGAGTCCCTGCTTAATCCCTATCATGTACTTCAAAACTGACTCAGCTATTTTTTGAATTATTTTCTTCCAAATCAATTTTATAATTAGCTTATCTCATTTCACACACACACATAAAACCATCCCTGTTGGGTTTCTGACTGGAACTGCATCTACTGTGTATATGCTGGTGAGAATTTGCACCTGTACAAAAGATCTCTTCATCCTTACACTAAATGAATCATTCTGTCTACTGAGTTTTTCTTTAATGGCTTTCAACAAAATGTTATAGTTTTCTCTACAAATGTCTTGCACAACTTTTGTTACACTTATTTCCACGTACCTTATATTTGCTGCTGTGATTACAACTAATATTTTTAAAATTATGTTTCTGGGCCAGGCACAGTGGCTCAAGCCTGTAATCCTAGCACTGTGGGAGGCCGAAGCAGGTGGACTGCTTGAGCTCACAGGTTTGAAACCAGCCTGAGCAAGAGCGAGACCGCCATCTCTACTAAAAATAGAAAAATTAAGGCAAGAGGATAGTTTTAGCCCAAAAGTTGGAGGTTCCTATGAACTATGATATCATGGCACTCTATCAAGGGTGACAGCTTTGAGACTCTGTCTCAAAAAAAAAAAAAAAA